ATACGTACAGGTATACGTGAAAACGATCAAAACAAACATTACTGCGGGTTCGGGGCAAAAAGCGTCTCTTCTTTTTTCTTATTAAAAACAAAAGGTCGATGGCCTTGCCAAGGACACTCAGCCACGTGGCTGCACATAGGGGCATAATGTGTGACGACAAACACACACCTGCCTCATATACAATGTTAAATCTCACCCTCGTTGTAGCATTGTCCTTATGAGAATCGATAAATAGATACAAAATCGTACAAGACTGTTACCCACTTCTTATACGTAATGTAGGCACGAATTGTATTTTTTTTTAACCGACTTCAAGAAAAGGAGGCGGTTCTCAATTAGTCTGTATGTTTTTTTGTATGTATGTTACGCTATAACTCTGGCATTTATGAACCGATATGGATGATTCTTCTTGTGGTCCCATTCAAATTTGAAGAAAATATTCGACCTCTAAGGGTGGCAAACCAGGAGATGAATTACTTTTGAGGTCGGTTTTATTGGTACTCTGTACTGAGATTATATTATTGGAGTGCACGAATTATATTAACATACACATCACGCCTGTCTCCCATTGGGTTAGGTTGACTAACCTCTTTCGCCTTTTCCACTCATCAGTCTCGTTACATATCTATTCCTTATTATATTTTTGGTACTGTTAACTGGCCTTTTTTAAGGACTTCTATAAACTGATCGATTTATATTTAGACTTTAGATTTTGAGTGCCCTACAACTTTGGCAATGGCCAAACTCTAAATAAGGGTTGGCAAATTCAAAGTACAAGTAAAGTACTTTAAAAGTACGACTGCTGGTATTAAAGTTGGCTTCTCTTTGCCAGCCTTATCTTTGCAGATGGCATTCCTCTGCTCGCCCGTCGATACGCACGACAGACGACTGCGAAACGCTTTTAGCGCCCGTCCTCTGCATTACACACCACAACGTGCATACAACTAAACATCACCTAAATACGGTCGATACAAAGTCGAGAATTCTACGGATACGTGCAGAAACACCTCTACGTGTAAATTAAACCTTATTGCATGGACGATATAGTCGATTTCTGAAAGTCCCGTCGTAGATGGGCGCCAAACAATACGCAATTCACCTTCGAGCGCGTCGAGTTGCGGTATAGCAGCTTCATTGTGTTAAAATAACGATGGAACTTCGATTGGAAAACAGCAGCACAATGCGTTCGATAAACAGGACTGTATTTACGGTTTGATAAGAAAAAATAACGTTACTAATAAAGTAGAAATACATTCACCGAATAAATACGTACTTATACCTTACAGATCTTCAAAAATAAATAATAATGATAAAAATGTAAATGAATTATGTGTCCGTATTATTAGCGTATATTTCACAAAGTATACAAAGTTTTTATACTTGTAGTCTACTCAGTAAACTCAGTTTTGTCTTCATGCGCGAGTAAAGTTTTCTATTAGCAAGCCCACATTCTTGCCTGCCTGGTGTTTGTCCAGAGTCGAGAAGCCTGTCGACGAGCCGAACAGTTGACGTCATACACTCATGTTAAACCTACACTGCGCTATCAGCTCGGTAGTTCGTTCCCTGAATACAATGCTGCTCTTATATTCATGTGATCGTGGCTTCCAAAGTTCAAGCAGCATTGGACAAGATCCAACGCGGAGTAGAGAAGGCATCCACGAAACTCGGTAAAGGCGTATTGCGGTCATATAACCGGTATTCGAGACCCGGAGTGCGACGGCAGTCGCCGCTGGCCCGGTCCATAGCTCGTAGTTTTGTGAAAGCCACGATCGGCAATCGCTGACGTTAACGAAATAGACAGCGTTTGCGGTTACCATTCGATGTTATTAGTTAAATATAAATTGTTGCTTAACCCCCCTTGTCTATAAAATAGAGAACATTCAATTAATTATATACAACAATGTCCTTACAATACACTGTACGTACAAATTTAAAAATTTCGAGTTATTTGTTAGGACGAATAATAGTTTTGTTGAACGCAAAAAATATATGGGGAGCCCCGCATATTCTGCGTGAACGACGTACGATAAGCGAGTTTAGTAATAGTTGACGAAAAATGTTCACCTCTTTCTACAAATTAGCATATCTACGCTTACAATGAAAGGAGTTTTCACGATGAGGAAGATCCCGTCTTATGAATGAACTTGTAGTAAAAGTCTAAAATCAGATAAGTAGGCAAAAGTATACGTATTCATGTATATCAAACAATTCGTGACAGTGGGTGAGTACATAAGATGAGACGACCCCGGCGGGTGAACCCGTCAAGGACACTACGTGGGAAATCAGAGGGTGTTGTTGAGATCTTAGCAAAGATAAATAAACGATAGATACTCCTCCCTGATACTCGTAAATTATCTTTTTGCGCGGATTTTAACAGTAACTGTTGATGGAGAACAATGTTCAGGGTACTTTCGGTACTAAACGGAATGTGCTGAATGTTTACAATTCAAATTTTGTCCCCCAAATAGTTTTTTTTGTCGATGGTACCGCCGCGGTGCATCGCAGGCACATCAGGATTTAACGGTGGAAGGTCCTGTTTTGCGTGTTCGCTCTGAAGGAGGGGGGTAAGTTTTTCACGAGGCCCTATATACCGCGACCACCCCGTGCCTCGTACATAAGGTGGGGGGAAAGGGGGTGGTTCGCGCCCGCAAAAGGGGCAAAATACGGCGTACTCTGGGCGCCCGCTCTATGTGGGTCAATGTCGGGAAAGCCCGTGTCTGCCGGTGACGGAGTATGCACAACGAATCTGATCAACACGACTGCGACCAAACAAAGGAACCGGAGAATATCCTCCCCTCAAGTATATAAGCTCTTATCACGGCGATATAAGGTTGAAATTTGTAGTAACCATTCGAGAGTAAGCAGATGCACTTCTGGCATCAGCTGTTGCGCAACAGGATGCGTTTTCATTGATAGACAAATCGTGTCAAGGTTTGTCTTGCTAACTTTGACTTCGAGTCGAGAGGGCAACAATCGTTTGTTATTTATGCGTGTACTCGTACGTAGATTTCGATTATATCTCTTCGCTATATTCAGGCAAACTATGATAAGAACATTTCGTATTCGCGTTTGTATGATATTGTAATGTATGGTATGATAATATTCTACGCTACAAAGTAGTGTCGACCCAAACTCAGATGCTAAGTTCAAATCTTGTTTAAGCTACAGACACTTTATTTGCCAATTTTTTTAATCCAACGTCAAAAATTTTTAAACTCGTCGAATCGAAGTTTTCTATTAACTTCTTTTCTACCTAATTCTCTTTTTTATACTCTTAATACTTATTAATCTAGGTCCTTTTAACTACAAATTTTTATAAAAATAGAAAAAAACTGTTTTTGGTATTGTTTCGCGAAATTTGAATTGAATTAAATTTATTTGTACAACTCTATGTTGTACATACAAATTTAATGCAAGCTAAAGTAGGAGTAGGAGAGGATTTATCAACTGCGTTCGCCTACGAATTTACATGTCTTCGCAAGGTTGAACCTGTAACGAGCCACGTTTAAGGCCTAGTTAAGCTTCTTGGCTCCTTTCATATGGTTTTCAAACAAAACGTTTCTTTAAAAAATACTTACAAAAGTCAGTAATTACTATTAGGCTGCGTAATTGCTGGATTTGCCTTATGAGTTGACAAACTTCATAATCGTTCATCCATACTTGTTTAAAGTTATTTTTAATTGGCAATTTGGAGATCTTGATCTCCAAATTGCCAGTCAACATAAAATAACCTAACCTCCACGACCGAACAGAATACAGAACCATATTCCACGGCGGGTTTAACTACTTCCAAATATAAATCAGGAAAACAGCGTTCTATTACCACCACCCGAAAGAACGTAACCTTAACGCCCACTATTGTTGACTATTTCATTATTTAAGTTGGAAAAATAATATTATAATAAATAAAATAAAATAATATTATGTCGAGTATGGTTATCGAATTCGCACGCTTGCTATGTCATGCCCTCAAAGACTCCTAATAATGCACTACGCCATGTTACGACCGTGTACCTACGTCAAATACGTAACGCCTGATTTCCTTTTTCCATGAGCATGAAAATTTATTTTCCACCCTTTGTTTTTCAGTACGGTCTTTTATAACTCACACATTTTCACGCATCCATCTTAATAGCGAGGTAATTAAGCCCTTCTCTTAAGCTACCGTTTCTCGCTGTCATCCAATATGACGCCCTTAGAGCTCATTACCTGAGGCCATGTTCTTAAACAACTTCAACTCTTCAACATGCAAAGCTTCCTCAAGATGTTTTAAACGGTTGTTGCCACGGGTCTCTTCTAAAAATACTACTCTCACATCTCTTCATACTTTGAGTTCATCTTCTCCACTATTAATTACGATAGTTCAAATTACGAAAATTTAGTTATGATTTAGTAGCAGTAGAGCTCCTTGTGAACCAGTTCAGCCAGGGAAGTACTGTCACCTTACCTATTACTTCCGCCAAGCTTATGTGTTCCGGTTTACAAGTATAAGGGTGCTGACGAAATTACAGGCACAAGGGACTTGTCAACTCATGTCTCAGGGTGACGGGCGCAATGGCAGTGCTTATCAAAACTTTGCGTTTTAAAGCTCTCGCTTACCTCAAAAATCATAAAAAGAAATTAAAAAGTTTCCTTCATCGTTAAAACAAATGAATGAAATCAATCAGTAAACTAAAACAATAAGTAAACAAAAATTGCGGATCACCTGGTAGATGTCGCAGTCTCACAAAGAGATCCTCCTCTTTCATACGTCGATTACATGATTTTCCAACTAACTATTTATAGTAAATATTAAATATTTTTGTATCTAAAAGAAATCCTGAATCTTTCTTCGCTAAAACCACCTTTGCCCTGAAATCCATTTTAATACTCGTAACAGCACAAAAGCAAACAAAAGTTGTCGTGTGTTCATTTTCCCAGGGGGTTTAAAGGTTCAGTCCGACGTCCCTTTGTTGCTATAAAGTTATTTTTAAGATAGATTATAGGCATAAGGTACTTACCGACAGCAGGTGACATGGATCGTGAGCCGCTAGAGCCGGTAGGGCTGGGCGTAGGCCTCAAGTGTGGTGTGGTGGCGCGCCCTGCGCTGCCGCTGCCTCCAGAGTCATTGCTGTTTTGGCCTGTCAGATCCTGCGACAAAACAATTGCGTCGTTAATACCACAAACAACCTTTACAAATGCCCAATCTAAAGAAAAGGCTCTTTTTACAATTTTGTGTTATAGTAACCATTAGGATTGAATTTTGTGTACCAAGTTGTGACTACGACAAAATAGGTACCTGCTAAGTTCAGGGTAAATTAATTATATCGTTGGTCTTGGCAACGAACGAACGGACGAAACATCACTAAAATGTCACGGCAACTCCAACCCATTTCTCGATTCATTTGCCGCTAACATTGAAATTGATTCACATTTGCATAAATTGAGACGAGATTAGATCCATTATACTTCAGGTAAATTAGTTTCTTTTTCTTTTAGTTAGATCATTATTTTTTCAATATTCCAGGGTTTACTTGCAACTTTATTCTTCTTTGGCCTTCACAAAGATCGTACCAGTTACTCGCGTTTAAGGAAAAGAATTAGCCCACTGTGAGTCACGCAAAAAGAACAGAATCTTACTGCTTGAGTAATCGATTTGAAAAAGAAATCGTTAAAGCATGCTTTTTGAGTACTCTCCATCGTCAGTACTTTAACGCACCCAGTCATAAGCTTGGGGTTAGCTACCTTGACACTGCAACCTCGGTAGTCGCAACCCACAATAGCACGGGGCCAAGTCATCGGAGCACGGCCTCTTGCGGTAATCTACTATAAAACCGCACACCACATTCCCGCTAACAATGCTTTTAAAACAGCAATGCCTAAACAAAAACAAGTTCTCGGCAATGGTATAATTATGAAATATTGCTGAACACGGTATAAATATGCACTGTCCACTTGCACATTGTGGAAAGAAATATGTAACAAATGCCTACGAAACATTAAATTAAATTTGTACTCCAGGACCTAGCAAAATAAAATACTTACACATAAATAGGACAAATTGCTAATCATAATTATTATGGTATAAATATTTACGTACCGTTTCAAAGCAGTGAATGCACGCAGCTAGCCGTAAATCAATCTACAGGCCTATCGATAAGGCTGATACAACGGTAAAAGCGATTAGACTGTGTTCACAGTAGACAAGAATAAACTGTCAAACAGACGCGTAACGTAAATGGTTTCAACTTTAAAATTCGAGTCACATTATAGAGAGAGCGGCGGCGACGCAGAGCGTTCACAGTGTTCGAAAGAGCTCGCTGAGGCAAGCAGGCAACTCACGACCCCCCGCTGTCGAGGTTAGTTCGCCTGCGAGAGGCTCCGGCGTCGATCAGACGAGTCCGGTCCCGGGGGCGCGGTGCGGCACAGTGCGGGGCGAGGGAGCGCGATAACCACGCCGATGTTTTTGCCGTGCTCCAACTCGCTCGCTCGGCGCGGCAGCGCGTTCTTCATTTCGTACCAAGTCCATTATCTCTCTCTCTGTCTCTGTCGCACTCGCCACTCGCTTCGTCGCGCCTCGCCGCACCGGCCGCTGTTTTATTGCCAGCCGACGATTTTAACGTGCGCTCGCAACGTCCGCTGGAGCACAAAAGTTTTTATGGAAATTTCATTCCGAATGCGCCTCGCTCACTTGCTCGCTCGGGAACGTCAATATAAAAGCACGATAACGAACGGACGAGTCAATTAATTATTGTTGTTGGAAGCTGTTAGGACGTGCCGAGCGCCTCTATCTAGTGTTTCGGTATATAGAGATAGTATTTATGATTATTCTAGAAGAATATTCACATAGTTATGTGAAACTGAAAAATGTAACCAGCTACTAATAAGATAGTAATTAAGGTAGAGCATACAAAACTGATAATCGTATGGCGAGATTGAAATATAAGACATTTATTTCAACGTCAAAAGAAATTGAATAATGAAAAAATATAAAGCTTATTATCAATCCCGGGGAAACAAAATAGCAAAGTTCGATGATCAAAATCTAGTTAAATTTAATGACTTAACCAGCGAAAGGGACAACTAAAGCATAATCATCAATATACAAGAAACGCGAATACTTCACACAAAAGTTGTTCAAAGTATACGAAAACATAGAAGAAATTCAGCCAACCGTCTGCACTTGGCCTAAATCCCGACGGAAATAAACATCAAACCGCTCTCTTGACAAAATGAACACTGTGCCCGACGAGTAAGGGCCCGGTTACATGAACGATTTTTCTCTGACCAAGCAAGCGGTTTAGTCGTAGTCAAAAACAGTGACAATTACACGTGCACGCATGATGATGCTGACAACTTTTTACGTACGCTTTTTGATGTAAGGTCGTTGTTACTTTGGAGATAGGAAAAAGAAAACGAATGAGTACCTTTTAGATTATAAAATAAATATTGCGAAAACCCATTTGTTGCGATAAAGATAAACCAATTTGGCCGGTTAACAGTGAATCTGAGAGAGAAAAAGAAAATCAAACTCAAATTTTTATCGTGAAGAGTTCAGGATACGACGCATAATTAGTTTAATTGGAGAAATTATCCGTCATAACTAATTCCAACACAACTTTTCGGTGGAAGTAAAAACCTTCACAATTTAATTTTTTTGCTGTCTCTATCGACCAGGTTGCGAGCGCGGGTTGACGAAACCGTCTTACGTTGGAAACATTTTCGTTAGACGGAGACAACCTGAACGACTGAAAAGTAGTTCATGTGCACACTCGATTGGAGAAAAATAGCTCGTATGCTCGAGGTCTAAATGAAATTTGTCAGCAAACAACATCAGCGCCTTACCTACGTAGAGAGTGCAGTGGGAATGAGGCGACGTCTATCTTGAAAGACTCCATTGATGTTGAGAGAAAGGTTCAGACACAAGTATGGTAACAATTAGCGACATCTTCGAGGAAAAATTTAAAACTACTGGAAACTTTCAGTTCTGCGCGTCGCATATCATCATTATGTAGTTTTGCCTATTACATAGAACGGGGCGAAAAGTAATGAATCAGAAGTAGACGCCTAGTAAAGACATACAGCGAATCATAATGGCTTAATTCTAGTTATATGATTCGTAGCCGTGTTGTTTAAACGGATCTATTATATCTGGTAGGCTAGGTCAGTGGCACGAAAGCTACGCTTCGGAGTGCCATGCTATAAATAGGCAGGTGATGGGCCGAGCTTGTCGAAATAACCGCAAATCGCCTACCTTTTTGTCTCATTTGCTGCTGCAATTGCTTGAGCTGCGGTTTCATACACTGCGCTGAAATGGTCTTCATTGGTGTTCCTCATACGTATACGAATGATAGTGACATGATATACGCTCATAAACGTAAGACCTGATGACTGATGACCTTATGAGCTTTTAGCTCATAAACGTAATTAATGTTCCTAACTTGATTTTTAGAGTTTGCGTTTTGTATAGAACAATACTAATAATAACGCACACACTCAACATAGCCCCGCACTAGGGAAACCCAGTGTCGCGGGTGCCATGGACACACACATACACAACCACAAATTACACCCAAACTCACGAGAGAAATAAATGTAGGCCATACAAATATTTCTCCCGGCCCGGGAATCGAACCTGGGACCTCTATGTGGCAGTCCGGCATGGTAGCCGTTCGGCCACATATCATAACAATATTATACATACATAATCAATATTAATTTTGAACGATACAGTACTACTTACAACTTAAAAATACTTGAAGAACGATCTCATTCTCAGATTTCGATGTGGTAGTTTCACTTCATGCTAGCGTTAGATAATAGAAGAATAAAACGATGTAAAGACATTGACAGAATGAACTTTATTATCCTTCCGTGTAGAAAGATATATTGTCCAATAATTACAAAGAGATTTTTTTCTGCCCAAGATTAGCAGTAGGCCGCACTAATATTGGTGTAGCAATGTCATTCAAGAACATGTCGAGATTAATCACCGTAAATGCGTTCCAAGATCATTCAAGAGTTCGTCGACCGGCGTGTGAAAATGTTGCCTCGTAAATAAATAATTCACAAGGCTAGTGTTCTCGGTTGGGGCACGTGGTTGCGGGCACGTGTTGTAGGTAGGTACGTAAACATTTACATTACATAACCGGCTCGTCATCGGCGACCGCGCGCTATCGAGAGCGAATGTTGAATCTCGCGAATTACTCCCTTCTCAATACCAAACGCTAACTCCGGCACTGCACTCCAACGTTCGATATCATTTTGTACTCGTACCTTAATTCATATACAAGCTAAAAACCAAACGTAGCAGGAAATCCAAACACAATTTCGCAGATCTAGAATGAACTCGAATAAGATCCACAAAAAAGTGTACATGAAATCACAAATACCAAAGTAACGCGGTGCCAGCGGTGCATAGGTAGTTTGTGCTCACCACCTTCATAAATACTAAATGACACCTAGTACTAATGGCTTGTCTATAACATTAGTAGTTAGATCCGGCACAAATTTTATTAGTATTTCAAAAGTAGCGTCACTTATAGCAGTCAATGTTACCTTATGTAGTGTCAATAACGCTAAGCTACGATGTAACAAAAGCGTAACCTAAGAATGAAGCCCTGTTTTCGGATAGCAGCATTTTTCTACTAGCGACGTATCGACACAGATGAGGTCATAATTAAGGCGGCGTGATTGTGAAAAAAGTTTAATGACTTGGGTTCGTTGTGGATGTGTGTGTATTTGTGTAAAGTAGACGGTTCCGCACGAAGGCAAGTGGTACACTTTATTGAATGTCTTTATAGGCCACCTGTTACACGGGTCGGTGTCGGCGAAACAGCTGATCGGGGCCGGAGCGAATTATTATTATTGTTGTCGGATACCGGTCGGTCTTATTTATTTGTGACGAAGGGACACGGGACAAAGCGCCGCCGAAGCACAACTTTCCCCGACGTCCTCTAGTATTGTTTAGGCGACGACAAGAACGCCGGTCAAAATTTACCAACATGAGCAGCACACTCTGGACTTGCCGGTCCTTGCATTATGAAAAAACAAATACCACAAAATGAAAAAATACTATAAGACGTATTCCATAATTCGAATGATAATAATCTTTTATTGAAGGTTAATCCTACGTGTGAGCGTCATTCATT